GAAGTTTCCCTCTGCATCTAAAAGGAATGTGTATTCTGCTATTTGGTGATGGAATGCTCTGTATAAATTTTTTATGTCCATCTGGCCTAATGTGTCATTCAGAGTGATTGTTTCCTCATTGTTTTTCTGTTTTGATGATCTATTCATTGATGTAAGTGGAGTGTTAATGTCCCCTACTATTGTATTACTGTCAACTTCCCCCTTTATGTCTGTTAATATTTTCTTTATATATTTAGGTGTTCCTATGTTGGGTGCATAGAAATTTACAATTATTATATCCTCTTCTTGGATTGATCCCTTTATTATTATGTAATAGCCTTTTTTTTTTTTTTTTTAAGATTTTTAATTTTTTATTAGAGAGAGAGTACAAGCCGGGGAAGTGGCAGGTAGAGGGAGAGGGAGAAGCAGGCTCCCCACTCAGCAGGGAGCCCAACATGGGGCTCAATCCCAGGACCCTGGAATCATGACCTGGGCCGAAGGCAGACGCTTAACCAACTGAGCCACCCAGGTGACCCTGTAATAGCCTTCTATATCTGTTGCTATAGTCCTTGTTTTAAAGTCTATTTTGTCTAATATAACTATTGCTACCCTAGCTTTTTTTCTCTGCCTCCAGTTGCATGATATATCTTTTTCCATCCCTTTGCTTTCACTTTGTATGTGTCTTTAGCTCTGAATTGAGTTTTTTATAGGCAGCATATAGATAGGTCTATTTTTTTTTTTTAATCTATTGAGTCACCGTATGTCTTTTGATTGGAGCATGTAGCTCATTTACATTTAAAGTAATTATGGATAAGTATGTACTTATTGCCATTTTGTTCACTTATTTCTGGTTGTTGTAGTTCTTTGTTCCTTTTTTCTCTTGCTCCTTTCCCTTGTAATTTGATGACTTTCTTTAATGTTTGCTTGGATTCCTTTCTCTTAATTTTCTCCATATCTATTATGCATTTTTGGCTTGTGGTTACCATGAGTTTCACATATAACATCCAAAGTATATAGCAGTCTGTATTAAGTTGATGGTTTCCTAAGTTCAACAGTCTAAAAGCACTACATTTTTACTCCCCCCTTCACATGTTATGTATAGGACAGCATATTTTACATCTTTTAATTTTGTGTATCCCTTAACTAATTTTTGTTGATGTAATTGATTTTACTACTTCTGTTTTTTAACCATCATACTAGCTTTATAAGTGGTTGACCTACTACCTTTACTGTGTATATTTTTTAACCAGTGAAATTTTTTCCTTTTCTAATTGCCTTATGGCCTTTTCTGGTTAAAGAATTCTCTTTACGATTTCATGTAAGGCCAGTTTAGTGGTGGTGAAATCCTTTAACTTGTGTTTGGGAAACTCTTTACCTCTCCTTAATTTTTAATGATAATCTTGCTGGGTGGAATATTCTTAGTTGTAGGTTTTTTTCCTTTCAGCACTTGAATATATCATGCCACTCCCTTCTGGCCTGCAAATTTTCTGGTGAAAAATCAGCTGATAGCCTTATGGAGTTTCCCTTAAACATTTCTAGTTGCTTCTCTCCTCCTGCTTTTAAAATTCTCTCTTAATAATTTTAAACACCAAAAACAAAAGATATTGGGTCATGGTGTGGACTTCCTTGGGTTTATCTTGTTATCTATTTCCTTCCCCAGGTTAGGGAAGTTTTTAGCAGTATTTCCTTCCTCGAATAAGTTTTCTGCCCTCTACCCTCTCTCTTCTCCTTCTGGGATCCTTATGATGTAAATGTTTGTTCACTTGATGTTGTCCAAGAGATCCCTTAACCTGTCCTCATTTTTTAAATTCTTTTTTCTTTTTGCTATTCAGCTTGGATGCTCTCCATTACCTTGTCTTCAAAATTAGTGATCCATTCTTCTGCATCTGCTAATCTACTATTGAGTCCCTCCATTGTATTTTTCATTTCTGTCATTGTATTCTTCAATTCTGATTATTTTTAATATTTTCTATTAATTTGTTGAAGTTCTCACTAAGTTTATCCACTCTTCTTTCTAGTCCAGTGAGCATCTTTTTGATCATTACTTTGAACTCTTTATCAGATAGATTGGGTATCTCCATTTACTTTTTTTCCTAGGGTTTTGTCTTGTCGTTTGGTTTGGTGCATATTTCTGTTTTCTCATTTTGACCGACTTACTGTTTTTGTTTCCATGAATTAGGTGGAATAGCTACTTCTCCTAAACTTGAAGGAATGGGCTTGTGTATGGTCCCCTGTGTAGACTGAGCCTGGTGACTTTTGCCGACTGGCTAGAGCTAGGGCTAGCATGGGTGGGGATCCCAGGGCACTCTGTGCTAGGGCTGTGCTGGTGGGATAGCTGGAGCTAAAGAGGTCATGGGCCAGCATAGCCCCAGGGCTCTTTGCACCGAGGGTGCCCTGGCAGAACAGCAGAGATGAGGCAGTACAAGCTGCAGGTTCCTGGGGCTCTCCACACAGAGGGTAGCCTGGCAGAGTGGCTGGAAACAAGGCAGGGCTGGGCCTGAGGGTCCTGGGACACACTGGAAAGAGGGCACCCTGATGGAGTGTCTGGAGCTAATGCAGTATGAGCCAGGTGGTCCCAGAATGCCTGCACTGGGGGTGCCCTAGCAAGTCATGTGGAACTGAAGTGGTTCAGGCCTGGAGTATTCTGGGGGTACTTTGCACCTGTGTCATCTTTGCAAGACAGCTGGAGCTGTAGTGAGCACTGACCAGGTGTGTCCTAGTATGTACTATACTGGGACCGCCTTGGTGGGACAGCAGGGCTTGCGTGGGCTAGGGGCATGGGGCTCACTGAAGCAATAGGCCAGCCGGCATGTGCATAGAGGACCCTGCTCCCATCCACACTCTCAGGGAAGATGGTGAATGTAAACTGGGGCAGCCAGCCCCTCTGACCTGGACAGAGTTTCAGCAGCTCCCTTGCTATTTTGACAGAGTTCCAGGCTGGTTCCTGTATATTCTAGTTGCTCTTCTAAATCGTGCTTTTTTGTGTGTGTCCCATGGCAGACAAATCTGCTCATAATCCCTCAGTACTATTCCTTCCCACTGCTGTTTGCAGTGTCAGGCATGGGGATTCCCTTTTCCCCTTTGTTACAGTGTCTGTATTTCTCTTACCATTCTTTATGTGGTCTCTATATCTTCACTTGTACAGAAGCTCTTCAGTCAGCCCTCAGTTCTTCTTCAGGAGAAACTGCTCTATAAATAGGTGTAGATTTGATGTGTCTGTGGCAGAGATGAATTCAGGGTCTTCTCATGTCACCATCTTGGAACAGAATCTCTTCCTTATGATTTTTCTCAATATTTTATTTTTCTAGCTTACTTTATTGTAAGCATAGAGCATACAATACATATAACATACAAAATATGTGTTAATTGACTGTTTATGTTATTGGTAAGACTAGTCAACAGTAGGCTATTAGTAGTTAAATTTGGGGGGAGTCAGAAGTTATATGCAGATTTTTTTTTAAAGATTTTATTTATTTATTTGACAGAGACATAGTGAGAGAGGGAACACAAGCAGGGGGAGCGGGAGAGGGAGAAGCAGGTTCCCCGCTGAGCAGGGAGCCCGATGAGGGGCTCTATCCCAGGACCCTGGGATCATGACCTGAGCCGAAGGCAGACGCTTAATGACTGAGCCACCCAGGCGCCCCTATATGCAGATTTTTGACTGGCAAGGTGGTTGATATCCCCAATCCCCATGTTGTTCAAGGGTCAGCTGTATATATTTGTAACTATGAGTGGGGTTGAGCAATTGTTTTCTGTTTTTATTTTGTTTTGTTTTAATTTTAGTTGGTTAACATACAGTGCAATATCGGCTTCTGGGGTAGAATTCAGTGATTCATCACTTACCTACAATACCCAGTGAGGGTTGAACAATTGTTGAAGGTTCTTGACCATTTATAATTTTTTTCTATTCTATTCTCCAACTTTTTATTGAGCTATTTTTAAAAATTACTTAATAACTTTATGCTTTATATAAAGTTTAATATAAATAAAAGTTAATAAAATTATAGTTTATTTATAAAGTTTAAATAGCTTAATAACTTTATTCCTTATACTATAAAACTTCATATAGCAAGCTATATTAAGTCCATTTTATCACATGACACATTTTTTGCAATTTATTAATCTTTTACCTTTGTCATAATGGTTATTAGCTTAAGTTTTGAATCTTTATATAATTTATCAACTTTTTTCTTTATGAATTCTGGATTTTTTGTGATGTTTAGAAAGGACATTCTAAACTAAGATTATAAAAACTCATATCTCTGTTCTTGAAATATTTCTATAGTTTTTAAATTTTACCTTGAACTCTTTGGTTTATCTGAAATTTATTTTAATATAAAGAATAAAGTTGGTGTTCAGCTTTTTTTCCCCCAAATAGTTACAGAGTTATTATAATGCCCTTAATTGTTTAGTCCATTTCCCCTCACTGATTTGAAATGCCACTTTTACCATATAATAAATTCCCATATGTGTCTATTTCTAAAATCTATTCTTTCTCATTAATCTATTTGTGGGTTGTACTGAAATGTTTTAGTGACTGTAGCTTTATATTTTAGTATCTGTTAGGGTTAATCTCATTCTATTACTTTTAGTTTTTAGAATTTTCCTCAATATGGTTAGTATCATTTGTTGGATTCTAAAAAACAAATGCAAGATGCCATTTTGACTGGATTCACACTGAATTCATAGATGAGCTTAACAAACACTGACATCTTTACAGTATTGAGTCTTCCCATTGAAAAACAACTATACAGAAAGTTATTCAAGTCATCTTTTATGAACCTTTGTAGCATTAACAATTTGTTTTCATATAGTTCATATAGTTTGTAGCATTAACAATTTGTTTTCATATAATTCTAAATACTTAGCTTTTTTGTTGCTACTGTAAAAATGATCTTCTCTTTCATTATATTATTGAACTAGTTATTGTTTGCATATAGGAAACTTACTGATTTTTGAATATTGGTTTTATAAATATAATAATTTCACTTGTGAAAATATATGCAGCAATAAAACTTTACCTTTGTAAATCCAGGACTTCATTTACAATATCTGTTCCAATACTCCCAGCACCAAGTACTATTCCTGTAGACATTCCAGGCACACTAATACAAGACTGTTTAGAGGATTCTAAATAATAACGAAAGGAAAAATTCAAATGAAGACTTTAAAAATGTATATATAACTTCGGTTATTATTATTTTTTTCAACTCTAATATACTTCCTATTTCCCTCTTTAAAAGAAATAGCTACATCCTAAAACGTTCTAACCATTCATGCTTGCATTACAAACATAACTCATGATGGTTTAAAATGCATAAGAAGAATGATAGGAATCAAATGTGTATATCATCATTGAGGGTACATTTATAACCTATAACCCTTGAGTACAGATATTTCCTTCCCATTTTAATCTCCACACTAAAGCCAGAGCAATACTGCTTTATTTTTTATTATTCCTTAATATTTCTATTTTTATTTATACAAGTAATACATTAAAATATTCTTGTGGTGGAAAATCAAGATAAGCAAAAACTCCCCCTTAATGTTTTCCATTAATTTACCCAACAGATATGTACTGAGTAACACAAACTACAAGGAACTTCTAGGGATAGATAATGGATAAAATACCATTTCTACTCTTGAACTCAGTCTAGTGGCAGGCCAGTTGAACAAACAACTAATTGCAATAGGATATAAGATTATAATGGAAGTGTGTTCAAAGTACTGTAGAAATTCTGAAAAGAATAATTTAAGCCATAGAAGTCTTTGCAATTTTGCCTTGAAATGTTTTCTTCTCCAAGACAGAAAAAGATGGTAACAATAACAACAGTCCTAGTAATAAATATCCATCATTTAAAACTAAGCTTACCTTCTGATGATTGAGAGCTACAAGGAAGTAATGACACTTCTCTCATCTCACTATGTCCCCTAGAATTAAGAAACACTATAGGTGATTTTTTTTTAAGTGAAGGAAATTGTGAAAGCCACTACATTAAAGCTCTGTGTACTTATCAATTCTTGGCCTTTTTGTTCTATATATACACACTGTTAATGTCACCACCAGAGATCAAGGTATTGATGTGCTAAGTACCAGGGCATTTGCCCAATGCCCTATTACCCTATGAAGTACATTTTCTCACAGTTGCAAATTCTCAGTTTGTATATTAATGATAAGAAGGCAAGGATTATTAGAATGATTAACAGGGGATACTGCTGGAGATACCAAGCCTTGGGGGCCTTTTTAAAAAACTATAGATCAGGAAATAGAATTGGTTTGATGCAACCTTACAACAATTACAAAGAAAAACTTACAGAAAGCTAATAATACTTAGAATGGGCTATGTTAGCCTATTAAGCAAATCAGGAAAAATTGGGTCTTCTTTCAGGCTGGCTGACACAACCACAGCTAGGGCTTGGTAAACAGGGCTTAGGCTGGATTTCTGCTTATTCCCACACAAGCACATGTGGTATCCCAGGCTTAGAAGATGTGCATGCAAAAATGATATGCAGGATAAAACATTTCTTACAATGATATATAGTTTTAAATTACAACTATATCATTTAGTGGAGGGACAAGACAAGGCCACCATGAAAGGTAGGAAGGAGGAGCTTGAGTGAATACATTTACTATCACCTTTAATACCAAGCAAAAAGAAATTTATTACAAAAGGGAAAACTTACAGCTTAATTCTGAGAACTAACACCAATGAACAGTGAATGAATTACAAAATAATATATACTCAAGTTATAAAGCCAGATGATCATACAACTTTAATGGTTTAGCAAGATGAGAAAAGACACTCATTTGAAATTAACATAAAGGTCTTAACAACATAAAAAATTACTTACAAAACTAAAGTGTTGACAGACACAATATACTCCAGTTCTTTGGTCCAAGGATTTGTGAAACTAAACCACTGGCTTTTTAAAGTTACAAAAGAGCCATCTTTCTTTCTGAACTTGTATGAATCTGTAAATATTTTCTCTTTACTCTGTAGAACTTAACAAGAAAAGATAATAATCAGCATAATAGTCTACCACTACATAAAAGTTTCAGATTTCACAGGATCGAGAAATGAGTTGAGGCTGTAATTAAAAAGTACCCCCAAATTACCCCCTTCAATGCATACCTGCTTTGTGCTTGTCAGTCAAATTACTATGGTCATCTTGATGAAAATATTCATAACAAGAAGTTCCCAAAAGTTCCTGAGGCAGATATCCTAAAATTGCCGTTGCCCTGGTTTTAAAATTGAAAATAAACTTCAGATTGGTGAATGCAATCCCTTCCAGAGTACTGTAGGTCCATATATGGTCAGGATAGTAGGAGAGTGGACAGGGGGATGAGTAACCCTGGGATCCTTTGGCTGCCCAAGACCCAGACTAGAGGTACAAAATAGAATGGACACCCACCCAGTCCAGGGTATGCTCTTCTCCCATTCAGTAAAATGGTGGCCACAGACCATGTTCAGTTTCTGCACTACTGGCTTAAAAAATATTATTCCAAGTTTTATCCAGCAGTGCTACTAGGCACATCTTTAATAGCCTTAGGTATCCCATTGAACTCTAATCATTATGGCATATAAATGTTCACCTTTGGTCCACATAGACAAATTTTCCATTCATTGCAAACCGGGTTATAAATTCAGTTGGTTTCACTTTAATCTCTCCACTGTTCTGTGGGACAATATATGGATGTAATCTTCCAATGGCAACAAGGCAGTTAAAATTACTACTGTCTTTCTTATTGTCCCTTTCTTCTTCCATTCCAACAACATGTGGAGGCCAGCTTCTCAAGTAACCAGTGCAGTGGATAGTACAGAATTTTCTATGATCTAATTCAAAAGTTTAAAAGAAAAAGATTTGAGTCATTGTGAATAAACTCTTAAATTTCTTTGACATTTATAATAGTTATAATTGTGCTATAAAGCATTCTTTAAGCATGCTAAAATACGAAAGGGGAAAGGTATTGCACTGAAAAGAAATCGTCAATTCATTTACAGACCTTATTCTTTTTTTTTTTTAAGATTTTATTTATTTATTTGACAGAGACAGCAAGAGAGTGAACACAAGCAGGGGGAGTCGGAGAGGGAGAAGCAGACTCCCTGCTGAGCAGGGAGCCCGATGCGGGGCTGGATCCCAGGACCCTGGGATCATGACCCGAGCTGAAGGCAGATGCCCAAAGACTGAGCCACCCAAGTGCCCCAGATGCCCCTTAACAACCTTACTCTTAACGGATTATTTTTCTCATAAACTAAATTATACATACTACAATAAAAAGATAAAAGATGGCTTTAATTTAGGTTTAAAGAGGCCTAGAGCTTAATATATTTCCAAGCCAGTTTTTAAAATTACAGTAATTCCTATTTGTTAGAAAAAGTTAAACTTTAAGCATCCTTGTCCTTAGCCACAAAAGTACTATTTTTAGCTTAGTAATTTTTGGTATAATTCATATTCAAAAATTCATAAAGGACAGTTAATTACACATAAATTCTTAAATTCCTTATGTTAGCACTTATAATGGTGAATAGACAGCTATGGTTATAATAGATTTATAACAATATTTAGAGAACATTTGCAGAAATTCATAAAATGTATAAAAATAAAATTTGAATTAAATTTCACTCTTCAGAAAACTCCCAAGCAATTAACTCATAGGAAAAAGTTTGTCAAACAGGCCCAATCAAAATAATAAAAAACTGGAAATAATCCATATGCTCAAATATCAGGAAATTCTTAAAACAGTGAGATACAACACAAGCATAAAAAATTGGCAGTATACAGATTACGGCAATCCACACACAAAGCTGACTTAAGTGTTAAAAAAGAAGGGGGAAAAAAAACCGGGTAAAAATTATTGAAAACGGTGGTTTGTGATAAGATTTAGAAAAGACCAGAACATTCATTATTTTAAATCAGCACTATTTGGTAAGGCTGTTATTACAACAAATCTTAAAAAAAAATTTAACAGAAGATGATATGGGCTGTCTTATAAGACAGCAACTAATAGTCATAGCAAAGACTTGGAGAACACTTTGTGTGCTGTGTTGCTTTAAGTGCTTTCAGTGTATAATTAATCTTCTTAATAGTCTTGTGAGGTGTTCTTATATCAGCACCATTGTCTCAGGAAATGGAGAGTTAATGACAAAGTCACAGCAGAAAGGGTGGAGCTGTGAGTGCTCTATCTTGGAAAGTGTTTAAACATGAGTTGTCCATGTTGTGATGGAGTGGGGTGGATACAAAAGGTGTTTCAGTCAGAGGGAACAGCCAACACCCAGAGCCAAGAGAGTGTCACATGTGGCTGAAGGCATATCTGTGATGGGCAAGTGGCTTGAGAATAAAGCAGGGAACAGATAGGTTGGCTCTTGTAAACCATGCATAGGACATTGCACTCATCACCTAACAGACATCACCCCCTCCATGGTCCACAGATGCCTTAAATTATGTCATTATCTGTTCTAATCCAAAACCACACACACACACACACACGTATACATTTTTTTTTTTAATTTTGAGTGTAATTGACACACAATGTTACATTAGTTTCAGGTATACAACATAGTGATTCAACAGGTTTAAGCATTATGCTATGCTCACAAGTGTAGCTACCATCTGTCACCTTACAATGTTATTACAATATCATTGACTATATTCCTTATGCTGTGCCTTTTATTCCCATGACTTATCCATTCTATAACTGGAAGCCTGTATCTCCCACTCCCCTTCACCCATTTTGCCCTCTCCCCTCTGGCAAGCATTAGTTTGTCCTATGTTCACAGTTCTAATTCTCTTTATTTCTTCTTTCATTTTAGATTCTGTGTATTAGTGAAATCATATGGTATTTGTCTTTCTCAGTCTGACTTATTTCACTTAGCATAATACCCTCTAGGTCCATCCATGTGGTCTTAAATGGCACAATCACACCTTTTTTATGGTTGTGTAATAATCCACAGAAATAAAAGCAAAAATAAACTACTGGGACTACACCAAACTAAAAAGGTTTTGCACGGTGAAGGAAACCATTGGTAAAACAAAAAGGCAACCTACTGAATGGGAGAAGATATTTTCAAATGATATATCCAATAAGGTTAATATCCAAAATATATAAAGAAATTTTACAACTCAACACACACCAAAAAACCCAGTTTAAAAATGGGCAAAGGACCCAAATAGACAATTTTCCAAAGAAGACATACAGATGGCCAACAAACACATGAAAAGATGCTCACCATCACTAAACATCAGGGGAATGAAAATCCAAAGCACAATGAGATATCACCTGTGAGAATGGCTAGAATCAACATAAGAAATAATGAGTGCTGGTAAGGATGTGGAGAAAAAGGAACCCTCATATACTGTTGATGGGAATGCAAATTGGTACAACCCCTTTAGAAAACAGTATGTTCTTCAAAAACTTAAAAATAGATACAATAATTCCACTAGTGGGTGTATACCCAAAGAAAATCAAAATACTTATTTGAAAGGATATATGTACCCCTATGTTTATTGTAGCATTACTTACAATAGCCAAGATATGGAAGCAACCTACGAGTCCATCAATAGATGAATGGATAAGGAAGATGTGGTATATGTATGCTATGGAATATTATGCAGCCAAATCACATTTATATCACTTACTCCCTATTCTGTTTATTGGCACCATAATCAACCCAGGTAGTTAAATAAGAAAACTGGGAGTCCCACCAGATTCCTTTCTTTACAACATGCAAAATACCTTAAGGGAATTAAAATTGGGATAAATGGCAAATACAAGGTTTTCATTCATATTAAAACTAGATAGCAGTCAAAAGTCAAAAAGCTTACACACTTGAGTTTGGCATTTCTGATGCTTGCAAATTTACAAATGATACTGACTAAAAATGTTCTTTTCAACTAAAAATGTAGATTTAAAAAGTTTCACATTCATATGGAATCTCATCACAAAAACCTAACATTTTACTCTGATTCTTCTCTAATAACACGGTTGCCAACCAAATTTCCAATTTAATCTGTCTCACAATTCTCACTGTGAACATTTATTCAGTTGGCAGATTTTTAGTTGGGGTTATGTGATTCCATCCACTGCAATGCATTTGATCAATTGTCTTAGGCTTTTTTAAATCCCAATATGATACCTCTTATCTCAAGAATTCTTAGGGGCACCTGGGTGGCTCAGTCGGTTACGCATTCAACTCTTGATTTCAGCTTAGGTCATGATCTCAGGGTCATGAGTTCGAGCCCTGTGTCAGGCTCCACACTCAGCCGGGAGTCTGCTTGAATTCTCTCCCCCCACCCCCACGCCCCTCCCTTCACATGCTCTCTCTCTAAAATAAATAAATCATTTTAAAAAAAGAATTCTTTAGATTTTTACCTAAATATTGGGGTCACGGGCCCCAATCCTTACCAAAAGGTTTACATCAGCTCCACAGGATAGATTCAAGTATAACCTACTCTGTGATTTTTGGAAAGGGGGAAAAATTTATGTTAAGCCAAACACTGCCTTCATTTATAGGACATCTTTTCAAAATCCTTCATGAAATTTTTCTTCAGGTTGAGGGCTAGGTCTCTCAATTTGGTATCTTGCTTGGTTTGAATTCTCACAGAAGCAGATCTTGAGACAAGGATTCAGGTATAAGAAGCATATTTGAGAGGGGATCCCAGGAATACTAGTAGGGAAGTGGAATGAGACAGGAAAGAGAAGGAAGCTGATAAAGGATAGGTTCTCCAACAAGTTGCTACTTTGGAAAATCAATGTTATATCTGGGTGGGGGGCCTTCTGGGAAAAAGTAGAACAAGAGCCTCAGAACTAAGTAATCTGAAGAAAAAGAGAGTTAGGATGTTTGTCCATCAGCTCCCTTCAGGCAGTGGATGAGGGATGCTCACAGGGAGCATTGATTCCCAAGGACTTGAGGTCTGCCCCTAGCTAATGTAGGCAGAACAATCTCTAAAGAAGAGAGAAGGTCTAGCAGAGTCATGCAGGTTGGACATTGGAAACAAGGTGGCATCCCTTCAAGTGGTAGGTGCTAAGAGGATAGGTCATGGTGTACTGACAGCATCTGGCACACTTGGCACAGGGAACCAAAGGGATTCTGGGTGTACTACTGTATTACTGATGATCTCATTAAGATAAATTTGAGAAACACCCAAGACATTTGGTAGTAGTCATCCATCCTTCATCAGCCCTTGATTTCACAAGTAGAGATACAGAGTAATTTTATCCCTATCTTAGAAGCTTTTTCAAAGTTTGAATCTATAACATTCATGTAAGAATCAGAGCAGAAATAATGTTTTTAATGTCAATCTTGTTTATTTTTAAACTTTTTATTATGGAAAATCTCAAACATACAAAATCAGAACAGTATAATGAAATCCCACTTGAGGGATTCATCGCCAATCTTGAGAAATGGCTTTTCCATAAATTGTAAGTTCAGTTTCAATTAGCATAAAAAGGGCTGTTTTCTAGTCTCTTAAATTTAAGCATAACTAAAACAAAACTATGGAGATAAGAGATGAGTGGTTAGCAGGGGAGGTGGCAGGGGGAGATGAACAGGCAGAGCACAGTGGATTTTAATGCAGGGAGACTACTCTGTATATTATGACAGATACATGTCATTATACATTTGTCGAAACCCATAGAATGTACAACATCATGAGTGAACCCTAAGATAAACAGTGGACTTTGGGTGATGATGATGATGTGTCAGTGTAGGTTCATCCTTCTTAAGAAATATACTATTTTGGTGGGAGATATTGGTAATAGGGGAGGCTCTGCATGTGTGGGGGGCAGAGGTATATGGGAAATCTCTGTCCCTCCCTCTCAATTTCATTATAAAAC